TCTTCTCACAGCTCCCTTTGTGAGTCACTGTCTTCTGGTAGAAAAACACACAAGTCTCCCTGGGTGAGCTTAGCTTTCCCTGCCCATGTCAGGCAGCCTACATTGCTAGCAGCTGGTTTACTATATGAAGGGACTTAAGTGTTGCTTCCACTGAACTGAAAAGAGTGGACTTGGCGAGCTCATTGGCTTAATGAGGTCTGCAAACTGTCTTTGAATCCAAGACTCCCATGATGGTAATTGTTAGCACTTTTCAACATGGCAGTCTTTATATGGGGTAAAATATTCAAAAGTGCTTAAGTGAAGGTAAATAAGACCTAGCTATTAAAATAAATAAATAAATAAACCCCAGACCCATAATTAACAGATGTTTGTGGTCCTGCAATAAGTGAAACTATTTTAACAGCACTTTGGTAGAAACCAAATGCTGAAATAACCCTTTGGTTAAAAGGCAGCATAACTGTGTAGTCTGATGGGAAGGGCTCCCTCACTGAGAATAGGCAGCCCCTGGGTTTAGGGAACAGCTTACTAAACAGACAAACCAAAACAGGACCAAAAGGAGGGTGTTTGGAAGAGCTTTCACTTGCAGGGCTGTACCTTAGGGGAACACCTTGTCTGCAGCAGGATAACCTGCTACTTTGGAGGCATCTGGTTCAGGCAGTGACACCTCACCTCATTTTCCTGTGAGTTGCTCCCATGCCTGGGGCAGCACAAAACAGGCAACATGGAGGAAAGCTGCACAGCAGGTAAGCTGCTTGTAAAGTCACAGCCTGGTTGTCCCCCTTAAGCTGAGGGATGGTGAGTGGCATCTGCAGGGAAGGGAGATAGCCATTTCAAAGACCTCAGGAAACCAAAAAATTTATCTCTTGCCTACTGGCTACTGAATAAGAAGGGGGAGAACACTACTTCTTGCTTTAGGAAATCTAGCCTTTTAATTTCCTTTGCTTTTACTATATGTGTCCAAAAACGAAGTGTTTCATTTTGGGGGTCAGAAGGAGCTTTTCAATGCACATAAGGTTTCCTCTTTTTTCATTTCATGGAAAAAAAATTAAGAGGAGGGAAGAGAGGAGAGTTCCAACAGTTTAACGCAAGCTTCCAAAAGATTTTGAATTCAGCAGTCACAGTGAAAATAAATGCTATTATTCATGCAGCCCTACTCACTTTGCACACAGAAGCAGTGAAATGATACACAACTACAGATATTTCATTTTAAGGCATTAATTTATGCAGTGAAGTAGCAAGATTAAGCATGGGTGTATATTTTGTATTCAGGACCTGGGTTTGTAGGCACATATGATGGGCATAGATGATGGAAACTGAGTATAAATCCCACTTAGATTTGAGTTCTTCCCTCCGATAATGCCAGCAGCTTATGCAGTATATCTGATTGCTACTTGCTTTAATAGTAATAACTTGGAGTAGGTTGGAATGAAAGTTTTTCACAATAAACCTCAACTCTACTGAGCTGACTAACTTTGACTCGAGTATTAGACTGTTTTCTACTGCAGGCTGCAGAGGTATGGTGTAAAATGAGAGAAGCATTTCCTCTAGGTTGAGCAAATGAAACCCAGTTTATGGCAATAAGAACTTTGGAGGCTAACTGGCTATCTCATATATCCTATATGTAAATGAAAATCACATGTAAAATATTATTAATAAAACAACTGTCACCTTTGGTTATTTTGAGCCTAGACTCTGCCAAATGCAAATACAATAAAAAATTTTAGAGAGAAAACTGTGTAAGCCAGTCCAAAATCTGGTTTTGGGGTTTTTTTTATAGAGATGCCAAGACTGTTTGATCAGCATGGGAGAGCAATTTGTTGACTCACAAGCCTAGCTCTCTCTGATTACTGCTTACATAGCACTTTGGAAAGGTTGGCCAAATACCTTCAAGTCAAGTACCTTGTTATTACGAACATGAGTGCTGGTAACAAAGAAAAAATACCCTATATGTCACTGAATAATAAATCATGGAGGCAAATAAATGACTTTTCTAAGAAATGCTCTATTTACATTTTGTCACGTGACATGGCTTTGCTTATGCTCATGGTCATGATAACACTTAAAAGAATTCTTCCTTTCCAGTGCAGCATCTTGGCATCAATCATCTTAGTGCAACTGCATGTTCTGGGATCTGTTTGCAATCAGGCAAATGAAGCAATGAGGGAGATTTAGCGGTAAGACCAATTTTTAGTTTAAGTGATGAAGCTGTATAGGTAAACATAGCTGGCCTTATTCAGCAGTCATAAACTACCTCCCTCACACAAGCCTTTGGCATAATTACTCATGCAGAACAGGTATTCATCCTTTCTAAGCACCACATAAATGAGGCCATGATAAAGTTATGTAAAGGAAATATGTATCCAATCTGATAAGAAGTCCCTAATAATTGTTGGTATTTTCCATAATATTAGTTTAGGGCTAGAGCCACAAAAAAAGGTTTAGGCATGTAAGCTGCCTCATAGGCATTTGCAGCCAATATTTAGATCCTCAAAACCCCTGTTCAGCTACTGCCTAACCCTGGAGGCGTCTGAAGTCTGCAAGTGCCTATGTTCCTGCCAGTAAAATTCCTGAGGTGCCCAAAGGTCTGCTCCTGGGCATGCCTGGGACTGCCTCTGTTTTTTCTTTCTTCTTTTTTTTTTCCCTTCCCTTCCTGAGCTTGGTAGGTAGATACCCAGCTCATGCTTAAGCCCTGATGGCATCCACAAATGACAGCTTTCACAAATGTCCTTTGAGAAGCCCCAGTCATTCCCTGACCACAAAAACAAAAAAAAAAACAAAAACAAAAAACCAAGAAAGTAGTGCAGCTGGTGGAAATAGAGATTTAACCTCAGTCTAACCCCTCTGTGGTGGCAGGATACCCAGTGCCAGGTCCTTCCTCTGCCAGATAGGGGACATACCCCCTTATTGCTGTACTCCAAGCAGAAGGCAAGGATGGTTATCTAGTCTAGGACATCATGAGGGTTTCCCCTGCTGAGGCTGATGCTCTTTTGCAGGACAGAGACCTCTCTCCTAGCTGTGTGAGGGATATCCCTGGAGCTCTGCCCCAGCTGGCAAGTGTCCCTTTGCCCTGCTGTCCAGCCAGCTGTGCTGTTTCCCTGCCCCGGTTAACACCCTGGGGTGCCAGGCACAGTGCCAGCTTCAGCAGGGAGGGCCTGGGAGCACTGCAGCTTTGCTTGCCTCTGGCCTGGTGATCCAGTCATTTGGCAGGAGGCTCAGACTGTGCTTCCATGGACAGCCAAAACAGCATGATGCTCCCCTGCTGCCAGATGTGGAGGCCCTTCTCCCTCACCCCACGGTCACAAGCCCCACCCTCTCTTGTGGCAGTTCTGGCATCACTGCCCTCTGCTGAGGCAGTTCAACTTACTAAAATGCCAGAAAGATTCCCCCCCCTCCCGACACCCTTGGCAGGTATAGCTTTTTGCAGGTTTAGTGAATTATGTCATCCCATGAAGGGATCCAGCCACCCCCAGAGCTGTCTGGGAGAAAGTATTGTGAGCAGCCCTGCTGGTGGTGATGAGCTGTTACCAGCTCCAGCAAAGACGTTCCTCACGCATCCCAGAAAACTAACTAGGAAGCCTAACTCTTTTTCTTTATTTTTCACAGAAGTTCAGCGGCTGATCTGCAAAATCAGCCTTTGGCCATCTTGCACAGGAGATGACAGTCACAAGAAGTGGCTAAGGTAGGTGCCCTACACCAAAGGAAAGTGTAAGCCAACATGAAGCAGCTACTTTCTTGCCTATAAGAATACTTTTCCTATTGTCTCTTTAAGTGTTTTCAGGTGAATCATATGAAAGCAGGTGTGGAAATGTACTTCAGAGTAATATGAATCATGTGAATGGGATGGTGGCATTTACCCCTTCCTACCTTTCACTCTGTCAAATGAGGCCTTGAAGATCAAGAATATAGTGAATGCCAAATGTAGCAGGTAAGAGACCCAGCAGAAGGAAAGTTAGATAACAAGTCAGAACATAGCTGGGGCTGGGAGAGAGAAGCAAGAATCTATGGCCTTCCTGATGCTTCCTGGATTTAATACCCTGCTGCTTCACGGTAAGTGGCCACCTCCACTTCTTTAGTTAAAAAAAGCTAGAGAGTCTCACAGAAGTTTTATTTGTGTCCTTTCTATTGGGCTTTTAGGTAGGAGAGCTTAGTATGGACCTTAGCTAGCCTGGTCAGGTATAGCTGGGCACCAGCATTTAACATTCCCAGAGGGAGTCCAAATGCTTAGGCATGGAGCTGTGATTTACCGTTCTCACATTACCAGGACTCTTTGGAGGTGATTTGTTGTGCATAGGTAGGTGGCTGCATAATTTCAAACCTGTTACTGATCCATCTTTTATTCTGGTGAAAAAACAACAGGGGAAATATTTTCTGCAGCCATCCAGATGTGGACGAATTGTGTACACACACATACTTGCCTGTATAGTTTCCAGTTCTCAGATGTATTCCTTGACTATGGTTGAATCCACATCTTTCCAACAGATAACCTCTGCTACATACTTGATACTGGGCTATGTTTGGACCAGAGGGTGGTTGATCACCAGAACAAGTTCCCAAGGGAAATGGTCACAGAACCAAGCCTGCCAGAATTCAAGAAGCATTTGGACAATGCTCTCAGGCACATGGCGTGATTTTTGGGTGTCCTTTGCAGGGCCAGGAGTTGGACTTCCATGATCCTCATGGGTCCCTTCCAACTCAGGATATTCTATGATTCTAAGCAGCTGTGGCAATTGGCTGGCATGGCTGATAAGGTTTAAGTCAGGGAGTAGTGCCAAATGCACATGATGCAAGTTTAAGAAGGACAGGATTTGCACTTCACGCCTGCTGGTGGTTCATTTGTTTAATGATAGCTCAACTATGTGATGTGTCTGATTTGGCCTCAAAAATAAATATTTAATTTCTCTGACTTTTCAATCTGTGGTCACTTCACATAAGTATCATGTGTCTTAATAGATCTGCTACAGAATAGAAGAATAATGCACCAAACTCCTTTTCTGTCTTACCTTAAGATTTTCTGACAATGTTGGGTGCTGTACAGCCTCTTCTATGTATCTGTGAGTTCCTACAGCTTCAAAGACAGCCCTAAGCACCTGAGAGGTTCTTCCTGGTGATACAGAATTGCAAAGTGTCATTAACAAGCAGTGTGTTATGTCCAGTGAGAAAACAAGGAAAATGTTTTGCTGCTCCTTCCAGCTTCTACCATATAGTGGACTTAAAATGCCTGGGATGCTTTTGCTTTGCTGTCTCCATGTCTCACCCAATTTCAAGCATGGCATAAGCCATGTTTTTTCTCAATCAAAGAATTAACTGCAGGGTAAATAAATAGTGTTGGCAGCTTCTGTGTCTTACAACAGCTTGAATTTGAGACATGTATTATAGGAGGTCTCTGGTGTTCCTGCTTTCTTCCCTGCTCTCAGTTCCGCTACTTGGTCTGTGAGAAAATGCGTTCTCCTGGTAGTGCCATATTAGAAAGGAGGGGTGAGTGTTTCCTGTCTAGTGGAGCTATCATCAAGTTTCAGTCCAAATAAAGCTGAAAGGGTCTGCAGATTGGGAGGCTTTTCTGGTGAGATTTGCTCTGTACATTTGTTTTTATAGTACTATAGTTGCCAATCAAAGAAGCTAGCAAGTCACTGCTTAATCCAATGCAGACTAAACAGCAAGGGGACTGGCTATGGGAATTTGCTTACAAAGAGATTTCCTGTTCTGTTTGGAGGTCAGTCCCAATAAAAATAAGATAGTAGAGGGATTTACTTGGTCCCTCAGCATATAAGTGTAGAAGTGATAATCCCAGATTAATATGTGAAGAACACGGGCAGGAATCTGCAACATACCCACAGAGAGACTTTTTCTCTGTTGCATTAAGGGGGAAATCCTTTCAAACTCACAATCTATGTCTTAGTTTTGTCTTGGTTGTCTTAGTTTTCAGACCATGACAAGGCTGTAGATCCTAGAAAGACAAACCATGTCAGGTTATTCTTTTGCAATCACACTGGCAAGTTTCTCTGGTAGCAACGAGCTAAACTGTTAGCATGGTTTACAACCTCATTTTCTTCTAGTTGTCTTGAATTTTTGTGTAAATGAGGTAGTCGTCACTCAAACAAAAATCCAACCTCTAAGGCATAATTTTAGAGATTAGTTAGAATATCAAATTGCTTCATTAGATGCAATCACACTCTTCCAAATGGGAAGAATAGAGAAGGTTTTCATTTGTTTTGCCTTGGGGAACTCCAGAATGTGTTTCATGGAATCATACCACTATAATATTATAATAGAAGCTGATGTCAAGAGTCACAAACATAGGACACTCCTGGACATCAGTGGCCAGTGCATGAAGAAGCACAACCTGGGAACTTTTTCCATGATGCAGGGGCAGTCTGCTCCTTCCATTATCCTCTGAAGAAGTAGAAATGAAGCTGCTTTTCCAAAGGGGTTGAAATGAACATCCTCTTCCTTCCTATAGTTCATAATACAAGTTCTGCAAGAACAGCTTCACAGATGGTCAGATTACATAAATCTTTTTCTTTTACTTGAAAAGTCCTCTCATTAACCAGTCTCAATTTGCATGCAAGTAAGCTGGTGCACTGGAAGGGGCCGTTGCTATCAAACAGTTAATGAGTGATACAATTGTTTGGCTTATTACTCACTCACAAGCCTTCCCATTCCCCCTGAGGAAGGGAGCGCAGATGAGCTTTCCCACTGCCCACTCCCAGTTGTGAGTATGCGTAGCCCGGGCGGCAACAGCATGGGAGAGATCGAAATAAAGGGCTGGACCAAGGGGAGAGCTGCAGTTCTTGGTGAATGGATATGTTAGTACCCAGAGTTACTCCTGGTTAGGAGTTAACATAAAGGAATTCACGACACTGGTCAGTAAAGTCATAAGGGCTATAATTACAGCCACTGCCCTATCATACCCCTTTTACCCCTTCCTTTCATTTAGAACCAAATGTGCCAGCAAGCAGTTTTGTATTGTTAGAGTTCAGCTGACCTTACGTCACAGGTGAACCATTCCTTTTAAATGTGCTACAGGCATGAGCATGACTCCTGCTATTCCAGTCTGTTTCCTACTGCTCTCTGTCCTTTGGGTTATGAAGCCCCATGAATTTTTCTTGTTTTCAGTAGTGTTTGTTTGGCCCTGTTCCTCTGCATATCCCTCTCCTAGCAGATTATCTATATTCATTCTGAACATATATCCTAGAAATTTTCTCCTACCTTTCTGGATAACTTTTGCTTGTGGAGTTAACAGATTCATCCTGACATTTGCCAGGGTTTTGTTCCCTTGTATGTCTATTTGCTTTCAGAAGTATACAGATGCTTGTTTTTATCTCTCATGTATTTCCAGTCTTCACATCCATGTATCAACATAGAAACACTAATGAAGTTGAAAATCTATAGTTTAGTTCTTAAGATACAGACTTTTCAACAAATCCAGCTTACCGTGGTAAATGCATTTTTTGCCTGTTGGGACACTAAAATTTCTTTCATATTTTGAGATCCTTTCCATATTTCAAGATTCATCCATTTTGACTTCTTACATGGTCTGGAGTTGAGATTTGTGAGGATTCTCCTTTTGGGGTGAGGTGTATGGAGTTCATGGCAGATAATTTCTTTTCCAAATATGTGTTTGATTCTTTTTTGCAACCCTGGCCAAAATCTTTGTGTATACTTGCATGTACATCCAGCTGTTGAGCACATGAGCTATATTTTATTACACTCACTATTTCTGTGAGTCTCCTGGTGTAATGTCAAGTCATGAGATACTTGTGTTGCACTCATCTGCACTTTGTCTTCATAGTGACATTGATGGCAAAGCCAAACAAGCAACAAGAGAAGGCATCCTAGACAATGGGGTCTGTGCTACATTTCTTTAATTGGTAAATTAAACTTGATATAAAACTTTGCTCATATCAATTATCTTTGCCTGTATACATTGACTTGGTCAGTAACATCTATTTGTTTTACTAAATCTTCCATTTCTTTATTTGGATATGAGATACAGTGCTTCACAGTTCTGGGTGTTAATTGTCTAAATCAATCTCTTCTTATGAGATTGGACTGTTTGGCATCTGTTGAAAGCATACTGCAGATTTCATAGTCTTACTCATCCTCACTTTGGGTTTCCTCATATGAGAACAATTATAGTTTTAGTCAAATACAAAATGCTGTCATGTGGAAAGAGCTGTGATATCAATATTGACTGCTGGTGGCGAATCTAACTGTACTAACTCAGATTTGTTAGTGTTTTCTATTTGAAATTACTACATTTATGCTTTGTGCACTACCTTTTTGCTGTTATTTTCTTCGGTGCTTCCTGAGTTGTTCAGTACTTTTTTTTGAAGTTAGAGCTTCAACTTTGCCATATGTCAATTATGGTAATTTCTTAGTTCCTCTATAAACTTAGATCCTGGAAAGCTGCATCGAATTTCTGTCTGCAGCACAGGTTGGCTAATCTGGTTGGTAGCAATTCTGCTCAGGGAATTCCACGCTCTCTGGTAGATACTGTTGTTTGGCAACATTTTTCTTCCAATTATGACACAAGGCATCAGCCCCAGTTCCACCAGCCTTCCTAAATTCTGACAGGGATCGAATAAAGGTCTTATACACCTTTGACTTTCTCAGTGACTTTCTGTAGGTGGCTACAGAATGTGGATGTGAACTTGTCAATTTGTTGGTTTCATGATAAAAATGTTGCTTTGGGGAACTGTGCTTGATATCTTGGCACAACTGATTACGGATTTGCTGTTGATCTGCATGTAGTTTCTTTGCTTTGGAAACTACAAGCAATACTGTTTATTTGGAAGATAACCAATTATGACTCCCAAAATATATTCCTCACTGCTCCTAGCTTGGTCACTAGCCTCCCAAGACAGATTATCTTTCTACATCTCCCTGCCCCCATGAGTCCTGGTGGGGCTTCCAGGGCAGGCTGTGGACTGTCTGAGGATGCTGAGCCTCCACCTAGAACACCTTGAAGCCCAAGAGAAGGTAAAAATCCTGATTTCAACCCAGAGACATGGCTTGGACCTCCACCTAACCCTGAGCTGAGGAATAGAGGCACCACCACATCCGCTTCTTCCGCAGGTGGGGAAGGCAAACACAAAGAGTTTGAGAGGCACCTGCCCCACCCATAAGGGTGAGGGAAGGTTTCTGAGAGGGTATGTGAGGGTCACTCTGGCTCCTAGCAGAGGCCAGTCCTAGCCAATTCTTTGAAGAAAAAGCTGGCAGAGGTGCACAACCCCTCCCCAGGTACAGTGCTGTCTCCCTAAGTGCCATGCACCTTGCTACACAGCACCAGTGTTCTTTGCTCTAGCCCTCTTTCTTTCCTCTTCTCCTGTATGAAAGTGTGCACATTAAATGGGTTGCCTTTGTTTATTTCACCCTCACTACACAGTTGAACTTTGTCTTAAGTAAAATACAGTTCTATGCAAACTAACAATAAAACTGCAACCTCTGTACTCAATTTTTCCCTAAATGGCACAGTCTCTAGGTATTTGCAGAATTTATTGTGCTTTATTCCATAAAGAATGTTTTTACTTTCAATGTTTTGTGTGCTTGAAGTAACAAAATATTTCGTGTGATATTTGGAAGCAACAGTAGCTATGCGGTCTTTTTAAAAAAAAAACTCTTTTGACAATCTCCATAAGCTGTCTAATATATTTACTTTGAAATTATTTTGGATTCACTACATGTTTCCTACAGATTAAAGCTGATACAAATCACGTGTTGTATTAAGTACTTGATCTTCTCCCAGAAAATTCAGTTACTTTTTACTCAATGGCCTGTCCAAACAATGAATTAGTTTCTTCACTATCTGTATAACAAATGCCAACCACAACATTTTTTTTTCTTTTGAAGTGCTTTCTTAAAAAAAGCTTACATCTCACTCAGAGGAAACTTTTTAAACTGGTAAACATCTGAATGTATCTAGGGAGTTTTTAAAGATTTTATTATTATCACTATTGTAAATTTAGTAATATGCAGAACCAGAAACCTCACTAAAACTCTGAAATTAAGGAAATATTAAAACAAGCACATTCATCTGCTTGTAATTTTTCATAATTCCCTGAAATACATTATTTTAAAAAGTGTCTAAAATGATGACCATGGCTGCTAAAGAATGTTAGTGAATGCCCATATTAAAAGTTTCATTCTTCTGATCAGAATTTTAGTCACACAGGGAAACATGCAGAAATTTATGCAGAAATAAATGGAACCAATATTGTTGTTTAAAATATGATCATAGAAAGTCAGACATGTAAATGTGAATTCTCTGGTTATTTTCAGTCTTCCAAAGTGGGAAGACTCAATAATAGCACAATATATGTTTTAAGTATTACCTGTTGTCTGAGTATTAAATAAATGTGTCACAGCGTCAGTCTCATAATGCCATAAATAAGATGTCTGCCAACAAAGGAATATTTTGTGATGTATTGTGATGATGACGCAAATGAGAAATAGGAGTTAACAAGGCATGGATGTTATCCCAGAACAAAATAGGATGCTAAAGGGCAACAGATTTTGGAACAGCTATCCTGTGGCACACAGTAGTGGAACAACAGTGGGGTTTTTTCTGGTTTAGCTCAAGACAGTTTCAAAAGTTTCCTACTGTATTGTCAGAATATATTCTGACACTTCTCTCTTGATGGACTTTGTATGTGGGTAATCCCTGATCATGCCAAAATGTTCTGAGACCTGCATTATCTTCCACATGGGAAGGGACAGTGAAAAAATTGTCTCTTGAATTTTAAAAGGGAGCGGTTAAAGGTATATAAAATAACAAGAGTTAGAAAGAATTTAAATCTAGTGCTCCTGTTTGGTCATTCACAACAGGAGGATTAAAGAACAATTCACAGGCAAGAAAGGCAAGAAGTTTAAACTGCTAGAAGACTTTGGATTGTTCTTATAAATAAAACGCAGAAATTATATTTTGAAAATACAGCCCTGATAGATAATCTTACCATTGAACTGTGAGACAGAGCAGTTAGTATGCTCTCAGAGCTGGTAACACCACTTAAAAGCAAAATATATGGGTTGGGTAACTTATGAGTCAGACATTATTTGTTGAGCTGCTTCAGTGGTGGAAAAGGGCTTTGGCAACAACATCTTTGAAGAAAGCCACTTGATCATTATGGATAAACGTGCTGGTGGGAGGGGCTGTTCCACCAGTAGGTAGAAATGGGGAGAAGGGGATGTGTGAGGCTCACCTCAACAGCCCCTCATCAACTGGGGCAGTCTGGGATGGGAAACAGGCTAAAGGACAGCATATCCCACTAGTTGCTGTGTCTGTATGCCTCCACCAGCTTGTAACTTGGCAGGATATGCCCAAACTGCATCAAGGGGCAACACAAGCATTCATGGTCCCAGAAAACCTCACCAAACATGGCACTGAGACTGCCCAAAGAGGCCAGTCTGGCTCATGCCCTAGGTTGTAGGCTGTTAGAAAGTTTCTCTAAGAAATTACAGATCATTGAGGTAGAAAGAGATCATTGAGTTCTGCCTGCAGCAGCTTGTTCTGACTTCATAAGTCTTCAGATCCTCTTTCTTCCCACTCAGCAATCAGAATTGAAGAGGTGTGTCTGCATACCCCTAACAGGCTGTATTGTGATGGAATTTCCCAGAAGGTGTATTTTGCAACATTTATGACTTTACTTTTTTCATGGGAGGACCTCAGGGAGTCCAGAATTTGGAGTCCCAGAAAATTTGAAGGTCAAGCCATTCCAGACAGACAAGAAGGAAGGTAGGCAGGAGGTGCTACCTAGTCCCCATTCAGGAGGAAATTATGTTGTGCCTCTTTTCACCTCCCTTCAGTTTAGAGGGGATAAAACTGCTGAATGATACCTTAGACTTGTCAAAAAAACCCCAAAACAAAACAAAAAAAAATGGACAGAACAAAATTATTTATAAATGACTAGAATAAAAGATATTTCTGAACTAATATAAAAGCTATAATAGTAGCCAAATACATACTTTTTGCCAATTTATTTGCAAACCACAATGAAGTGTATCACATCTGTTTTAAAGGTTATATTTTTTCAATATAATAGTTCTTATTCATGTTTAAGCTGAAAAAATATATTATGAATGGAACAAAGGACTACTACCATTATATTTTAACAGCACTAAGTGTAATTCACCTCTGACTTATTTTAAGAAGCTTCTGCCTTTCTATTTCCTTACAGGTGTTATTCATTGTAAGGAATTACGCCTAATTTTAGGGAATAGCTGTGTATTTAACCACAACATACAGAAATTTTGTGTGAAATTCTTCCTTTGTTTACAGTGGCATAACTCCTACTAACCTCAGTTAATGTGGAAAAAATCAAGACTTATTTTAGAACTCATATCTGGATTTAGCATCTAAGTTTAGTTGGGTGAAAATCCTAACTTTTTTTTATTTTAAGAATTTATTTTGAACCTACTGCTTTTGATTGGAGCTATGAGTTTAAATACCTTTAAAAACTGTGAACCAATGTGAAATGCTTTAAGTCATACAGTTAGAATTAACCCTGAGGATGGCCCTGGGTCATTTCCCCATTTTGGTCTCTCCCCACCTGAGCTCTCAAACTTTCTGCCTAAAGTTTAAATACTAATTGGTGACTATGCAGGCATTTTCATGCTAATGAGGTATAACAACAAAGTAAATGGCTTTTTTTGTGAGGCACTACTGGCTCACCTGTTATTCAAAAAAGAAAGAAAGTCCGAATGTAACAAGATAGAGATATATACATATAAAAATAGGATAATAGAAAGTGCACCTTCTCTCCCCCTTCCTCAACAGATAAAAGGCTGCTCCATATATGAACACAAAAGCTGAGAGAATCCTAATTACGACATTTGTGGAAAGCAAATTAAAATGTTTAAATTTTATCCCTGATAACAAATACCATTTTAATGTTGAAACTGCTAGCACTTCCTTTTTTATCATATTATTCTTTACCTCATAAAACAGTCTCACTCCCTTCTCCAATCCCTGTAGAAAGGATTATCACCTGCATTTACAGGTAGAGAAATTGTGACAGAAGCCATGCCAGAGCAGGGCAGGACAATGCCAGGAAAGTGTCCTAGCTGGGCAGCCCCTTTCCTTCTCCTCACCCCAGAGCACATGGCCTCCTTTATACATAACTGGTTGTGTCTTCCTTAGAGATGGGCTGTAATTGTAAAAAGATGGCTGAAAAAGCCAAGTTTGCGTTCTGTAAATGGTTTCTTGACCTTTATCACAACTCGCAGTTCTTGTGGGTGTGGTAAAACTCCTTTAATTGTTTGGCCTTTGTTTCTGTTGCTAAACAAAATTGATCCAGGGAGTGTGTTTGAGCATCTGTGCTGCCTAAATTTGAGTACATTGCCTGGTTGTTTTGACCTGTGCTGAGTGGTGCTCTCTAAGGCAAGACCTAGTCCTGGCACAGGGAAAGCAGGGAGCAGAAATCAGTTTCAATATGGAATAGAGATAGTACTGGAACAAATTCAGATGCCTCTTGCCAAGACAGACCTTTG